GCATCAACAATAGTACCTCAACGGTGATGTGGAAATCTATTGGCATTAAATTTGAACATATACTATCATCTATTTGTTTATTATTAATATATAACTTTTAGAATATTGCTTCCTCATAGAGGAAGCTTTGTTTTCGTAAAAAAAATTTATTTTTTTTGTTTTTCTGAATGTTTTCAGAATGTTCTAAAACGTCGAAAAATTGTAATTTTAAAAAATGTCTGTATGTGTATGTGCCAAATTTACCGAAATTTCTATAACTTTAGAACTAATCAACCAGATCTTAACGAATTATATATGAAATAGGGGTAGAAAAAACTGAAAAATATAATAGAATTAATAAAAATTGCTAATGATCAAGGGGTTCTTTTTTAAAATTTAAATTTTGAATTTTTTTAGAAATGTCTGTGGTTGCTATAACTTTTGCAAATATTGAGATACAGGGCTCAATTTTTTTAAATCGATAGAGTATTATTCAAGAAAGGTTGGTATTGAATTTGGCGATGATTGGTGTAAAAGGGTTCTTTTTAAAAAATTTTTTGAATTTTTTTAGAAATGTCTGTGGTTGCTTTAACTTCTGCAAATATTGAGATATCGGTATTAATTTTTTTTTTTAATCGATAGAGTATTATTTAATTGAATTTAGCAATAATCAGTAAAGGGCTTTTTTCTTTATAAAATTTTCAATTTCCGTGGTTGCTCTAATTTTTCTAAATTTTGAAATATTGGACTATTTTTATTTATATTTTCCACAGTCTTTTTCTGCTCCTATTTCATATATAATTCTTTAAGATTTGGTTGATCAGTTTTTGAGTTATATATAAACAAAAAAAATAATAAAGAAGCAACGTGCAAGTTTTTAATTTAGATATTAGTCACAATAAATCTTATCACAATAAAAAAATGGTGCAAGTAGAAACTTGCACATTGCTTCCTCATAGTTTTTAAGTGTGCAAGTAGAAACCTGCACATTTCTTTAGTTTTTAAGTGTGCAAGTAGAAATCTGCACATTGCTTACTTATAGTTTTTAAGTGTGCAAGTAGAAATCTTTGCTCACCAAGCTTCCTTTATGAGAAAGCCAAAACAAATAAATAAATACTAATAATTATGCATCAAATAAAATAAAAGCTTCCTCATAGATTTTACCACAATATGATTTCGTTGAACTTTGCAAAGTAGTATAAATTGCAAGGACAACGTGATCATCATATGTGTTCGAGGGATGCCATAAGAGTGCTTTATTCGATATTAGCGAGGTATGTGACACCGTCACCGCGCTAACGAAATTACACACAATCATGTCGGGTTTCCTAACGGAAAGTGCAGAACGTCGCTTTCCGCGCTACGAATATGTTTCACTCCAAATATGGTAAGAAATACAGTGATCGACGCCGTTCGTTCGCCGCAATTTACAGAAAATAGCAAAATTTTTTATTTAAACGTAAAAAAATAATGATAATTCTCCTTTAAATATTAATTCTTATGGAAAAGAATGGATTTTATGATTTCTTCATTTATCTCTATTTTGTATGTAATTTTTTTCTTTGAAGATTGTGTTTTCTATAAATCTTCGGAAATCAATCGTTATTAGTATTTTGCGCGTATTTTTTTCATAAAACGCTGTCGCGGATTGCAGTGATCTTCGCGACGTTCTGGTGGATCCTGGTAACGATTGGTGGATCTTCGAACATCATACGAAACGAGGACATTTGCGGACCTCATAATGGCAGGCGTCTGTATCTGGAGTTGGGCGAGAAGGGCATCCTCTACGCGAAGAACGTTACCTTCGTCAAAAATTCACCAAGACAACAACTGATGCCACGTCTTTACTCCACCACCATCAACAGTTCCCATCATCAATGCAGCCTCGAATTAGTGACCTGTCCGTCCTGCGTGATAATTGTTACCTTTAAGAACATCGCGCTTCCACATCACTGTGGCGACGGAGGAGTCGTGATGGACAGCCCGTGCAGGTGGGACCGATATATCAGTAAACATAACACTATCGAGTGAAATAATAAATATAATCTCATATCAAATTCTGCTGTAAAGTATAGATCGTCTGAAATGACCTTTCTTCTTAAAACATATTTTAGAACCTGGTATTTATTCTAATATATTTTATCATATTACTTGCATATGAATACATATAGCACAATGAAACTCAGCTTAAAATTTTTCCTTTTATTGACACTTATTCATGCTCGACAGAGTATGCTGCGTTAATAATATATAACAATATTCTTGTCATTTAAAAAAAAAAGTATACGATGCAAATTGATAAAAACTTGACGTGTAGATTCAAAGATTGTTCAATAATCTACCTGTCAAAATTTCCATTTTAATAACTTCGTGTATTTTCTACACTTTAAAATAGTGCAAGTTATGAAGTCTAAGTTATAAAAACTAAATGTGTTTAAGTTTTAAAGAAGAACTGAAAAACATGTTTGGATTTGAGAAAGATATAACAGTATAATACACATAGAATTATAAAATATTTATAATATAATTGAATAAGCTGCGCTAAGTTAGTTAGTTATTGTTATATACCGAACAGTAATAGTATTTGGAAGCAGCTAGAAAACTATATCTGTAACTCTCTCTTTTTCTCTCTCTCTGTGTGCGCGTGTGTGCCGGGGATTTGGCTTACTTAGATCTATGTATATCAGAGCGCTTATCGCGGTAACCGCAAACTCACTTTGGAACCGTATATCTGTTTTGTAGATGCGACTACGTGTGGCTCTCAGAACCACCTTACGAGGAGGTTTCCGGCTCGCCCTTCTGTGGATTGTACCCACCAATCATATATAGATCAAGCACGAGAACTCTGTCTATAACTCTACTCTACAGTCAATCCCACAAGCACGCGTTTACCATCGAATACACGGCAGAAAGTTAGTAAGGATAATCAACATTGTATTAATAATGCTGATGTAAAATTAAATCAATTTTCTAAGAGCTGCGATACGCATTTAGAATCAATACTAATAGCCGAATGCAAAAATAGTCTTCAGATATTAATCGCGTTGAATGAAATGTTAAAATAGCACGTAGAACCCTAATTGGATTAAGGCTGAATTTTAAATCCTTTATTCTATTCGCGGTAAATCTCAATTCTATTTGCGGAATCTCGTAAAGGATGACGACGCGATTTTTCCGATACGCCTCAACGTATTTGCCCATTGCGCGGCGAATATGAATAATTTTTTTTAAATCGAATGTCATCGTGACCGCGACGCTTTTCGTTCCGCAGGAAATAGGTTGCATCTGAAAGGGACGGAAATGACATCGAGAGCGCCGACAAAGGATTTGAACAGAACCAGTGGTGGTATTCTGACCTCGCCGTTTTTCCCGGCTCGATATCCCCGTGACTTGGGCTTGGAATATATCATAACGTGCCCCAGCGAAGCCCCCTCTTGTCGCATCAGATTGCTGTTTAGCGACTTTCAATTAGCAACGATCTCCATAATGGAGGTGATTCAAATTATCTCTTAATTAATTTTAGTCTTTAGCAATCAAAAAAAACTTTTGTGAAATAAATCAATGTCAAATATTCTAGTTTTATCTTGATACATTTGTCGCGAAACAACCATTTTTAGCATTTTATAAAAATAATTAAATAATATAGCTTGCAAATCCAGAAAATGTTTAAAATATTAGACCATCTTTTATAAATTATATTTTTATAAATTTCTGTTCCGTTTGAATAATTTCACGAAGAAGGTCCCCAATTTTATTTTGAGTTTTTAAGGCAAATTGGACATAAAACCTACAATATGTATCTGATAAATTTTTAAAGGATTTTACATATTGCCACATTTTGACGTTTGCAACATTCGAGACGTTTCTAACATTTACCGTGTTTAGTTTTACGATTGGAACGGACAACGTTTGGACGTCAGTAGCGGTACGCGATTTCGACCGCCGGTCATAGTGAGCTCCGGTCCGTCTTTGCTGATAAGATTCTATGCAAATGGTGGTACCGGTCTTGGTTACAAGGCCTTTTACTCCTTCGTGATCGGCCATACGTACGACAAATCCGTACAACCGATCACCGACTGCGGTGGATACGTGGAAAATCTGGGCGGCACCATCACGATGATGAACATGGTCGGTCAAGGGGTGAAGATCTACGATTGCGTTTGGTTAATCAGACCACCTAAAAATTTCTTGCATATGAAGACGCACATGTATCTGAAGGTAGTGAGTTTCGCTGACATGGGTACGTTGCAAGACAAAACAAAATACTTTATTAAAATATCTAATAAAGCGAGGAAAGTTGAAGTTAGAAAAATTACGTGTCCGCAAATATCTTGTAGAAAACGTGCAAAGCAGAAGGAATTGACGAAAATGATAGAAATCAAATATAAAATTTTCTTCGCTTTTTTTCTTATTTTTTTCAATCAATTTAAATTACTTTATTATTTCATCACACGAGACAAACGGAACTAATGTAAAACAGAATTCTGGGCGATTGCGAGGAATAGGTAGAATTAGTTTTTTTTTTGTAAGTGCTGTGTTATTACAGAGCAGTTATTTTTCAGCCGGGAATACGGAGTTGATCATCAAGGAAGGTCCGACTTCGGCCCTGATGTCGCTGGAAGTTATTCGACATCCGGCGAGTCAGTTGCAACCGCTCAGACATAGGGAACACATCGCGCCGGTCACCAGCGGATTCCACGTGAGTCTTCGTGGTACATTCGGTCCAAGTTCTCACTTGGCGATCGCTTATGCGGCCTTCAGTTACATGGGTAAGTCTGTCGTCGATGACGACGACGAGTTGCACTATAAGTCGTAGGGTAATCGCCTCATTCCAATTAAGCCTTAGTATACATGTTTCGTTTGCCTTTGATTGGATCGAACGTTACCAGATTGCTTTGCGGGCACCGATTTCCTGTGCCAGAATCACAGATGCATTCCAAGCCAGCTGAATTGTGATGGTTTTGACCACTGCGGTGACAACAGCGACGAACCAGCGACTTGCTTACAAAGTACGTATTTGTGATTTCGAGCTATTAAAGAGTTTATTTGAAAAAGACTTAAAAAAGGCGTAAACATTTTCAATGCCAAGAAAATAATATCGAAATCAATGGCAACATAAAAACTTGACACTTTTTTAAAACAAAATAAATATGCTAATTGCAGTAAGTATTTAAATATGTATAAAATGTTTAAATAAAATAATTTTATACAATATACATTTTTTACATGTAATGTATTAAATAATATTTTTTATGTATCTAAATATAATATTTTATGTATTTAAATAGTATTTTTTGTATGTATTTAAATATATAAGTGTTTAAAAACATATAAAAATGTATATTTGATTTGTGTCGTTTTTAGTTAAAGAATTTTTAATTTTTCATTTTATCTTGCATTTTTATTTAATAAAAAATAAAGATACTGAGTCTCAAAGTTTCAAAAAAAAATTTTAAAATTTAATTTTTTTAGTTTTGGCATTTTTTTCTTATAGAACTCGACGAGAGAAGCAACTTTGATCCTCTTGGTCAAACTCGTATCTCTTACCGTTTAGCCTGGAAAACCTTTTCATTAGTAAAAGTTGAAACTTTGAGGCTCAGTACCTTGATTTTTTATACCGGAAGAGGTACTGAAATTTATACCACGCATGAAGCACACCTAAATTAACGTATATTCACAGTTTCAAGAAAATCCTAAGAAAATCGATTTTCTCTAGTATAAGGACGAGAGAACGTTCTTAATTGTATTTCTTTTATTATAAATTGATTTTCAAACGTCACGTACAGATTGGGAAGTGGAGCCGCGCGATCGTAAGTGGCATATGAACAAAGCGAATTACTACTTTCCGAAGATCGATCGATATCCCGATCTGAAAACGGCCACCCTGGTATTCGTTGTCAGTAGCCTCGGCCTGATCGTTCTGATATCGGCTCTCATTATACTGCTGTACAGAATAGGAGCCAGGGCCAGGCAACAAAGAGAACTGCAGTCTCGTCTGGAAACAATCAGCGAGCTTTTAGGTACGCGTTCGCGATCCCTTCACGGAAAATAATCGTTTTGTTCAAAATCTCGACACTCGTAGTACGTTTATTCATAGAAGGAAAATTACTTTAAAAGAAGTTTTGAAAGTTTGAATCACAAGTTTGACAAAAACAATATATTTCTTTTATACTCTACAAAGCACAGCAAGGTACCAATATAATGCACAATTTTTATTTTAAATTTACGCAATCCGTAAGTTAGACTTTTGATTTGTTAATATTGAGAAAAAAGGATGCTTTATTGAGAAAATATATACGAAAAGAATATTTTTTTGTTTTCCTATTACTAATTATTATTTTAGAAATTGGAAATACATATTTACACTATAAAGATTGTACTTTTTAAACGTGGAAAAAATGCGATCGATAAATTTTTATCAGGTCGTTTATGCAAAAATTAATAGACTACTTCGCGAGTTTAAAATGACATGAATTGGAGCATATTAATCGTTAATAGGAGTAAGTTTTCCCGTAAACCAGTACGAACAAAACGTCTCTTACGTCACACCGGACAGTTTTTGATATTACAGACGGTGCACGAATCGATGAAATATCCATTCCGGATGATCCACCCGGCTACGAGGCTCCGCCAGACTACGAAGAGGTCGCAAAGCTCGTCTTGTCGAAGAAGGCTCGATGCTTGAACCACGATAGAACTTACAATAGAAACTCTTCAAATCAGTAAGACGTTACTTTTTTTACATTTTATCAAGAGACACGGTAGTGTTTCGCGCCAAGTACACGCGATGCGAGACCGTACCGTGACTCTTTTACGCGAACGCACGAGTTGCAAGTACTCGAGATCTGAATAACGAATGAACGGATCAAGTTCTAAGTAGGCTTGATCGATAGCTTCGGTTTGAATTTATTACGTATACAGCAAGATGCGTTCCAAGACTATAACGAATGAAATTTCAAGGACCTTCGAAAAGATTGAATTGTCGCAACAAGGCCGTTATTTACAGTCTAATTTTTAATTTTTCTATATTAAAATTCTATGAAAATAATAAACATTTTAAGTTGAATGGAAAAATATAATTTTACATATTTCTTCTATTTGCATTCTTAAAATTTAATTCGTCAATTGTATCTCGATATTCTTTTACGTAGTTTTCCTCCTTAAATTAAAATAAGGTGGTTTATCCGTCTATTCTTCTATTCATTAAATAAATAGTTAATTGTTATATATGTATTTTGAGATTGGTCAAACTGTTTAATTTTTTATTAAATAATTTAAAATAATTTCCTGCGGAGATAGATTTGAAGACAAAATCCTGATAATCAAATTCTGATTTTTGCAAAACTGTATAATTTTCCAGGATTATTAAGTTTTAAATTTTATAATTAAGGCACGACGAGGACGTGAATTCTTCTACTTATTTGATCGTGGAGGCCACGAGTAACGGTCATAGTAACCAAACGGCTACGGTAACATCGAGAAACAATCGTGCACTAGGTATACCCGAGAGCCCACCGCCCCCGTATATCACACCTCCAGGAACTATACTGAGAAACGTGAACTTAACTAGTTTATCAGCGTCGATGAAACAGATTTGTCCTGTTCGTCGCACTTGGCTACGCCGCAGCGCGCAATATCCTCAGTCCTCCTCGGGCGATCGTCCACCTCCCGGTGGTCCATCCTCATTCACGAACGCCGAGGCTCTTGATGCAAATCCAACGGATTGTGTCTCCTCGGGTACGAATCGACGGTCCGAAAATCTCCCGAACGAGGCCCGGATCGTACGTGAAACTGTCCAAGAAGATACTACAGTAGTATTGGAAGAGAACAGTCGACACGTTTCAGAAGATGATTGTGACGAACTTGTTGATAAGTAATTTCAAGATTTTCACACGTGTATTATGTTGTGTTTTATTTTATTCTTACTGCTGTCATAATGAATTATTTATTTAAAGAGTTGACAGTTTGGACGGAAGGAGTACTAGTTGCTCCTGCGAGGGCGCCTGTGGCTGTGTCATTAGCTGCTCCAATCTTCCAGTTAATCTGTCAACTCTTGTGACAAGCGTGGAGGATCGTGAGATACCGGAGTCAGAATGCGATCAAACGGCGACCGTGTCCTCTTCCGCGAGGAAGATCGATGGACATCAAGAGGAAGACTTATCTGTCTCCAAGAGCGTTATTGACAAACTTCTGGGTTCTAAGCTAACGAAATCATCTCATCATAGCATCAACTTGACAGCCGCCTTGCCGCCTTGCGACACTTTGCGCTGTTCCTCCAAGAAGTTCTCCCGTGACCGGTGCGTCAGCAAGATCTCGACGATCAGCAACAGTTGCGACAGGCTGCAGGACGATTTCGAAATTGTGTCGGAAGCGTCCAGCAGCGTTAGATGTCTCAGTCCCAGAACGATGACGAATACTCCGAATGACACACCGATAAGCATCAATCGATATCGAAGATGTCACTGCAATCGGCGACACTCTAGCTGCGATCTAAATGGTCTGTACGAAGGCATCAAGGTCCTGGACTCGTATCTGACGCGTAAAAGCTCCAATGTTGACCACGAACACCGACAATCGGTCACCATGATACTGTTCGGCACACCAAAACACGAATCGACATGCAATTTAATCGCATTGTCGCAGCAAACAAGAAGAGAGAGATACATGCGCGCTCGTACGTGGCGTTCCAGCGAAGATGCCTTGTCGAATTAATTCGTTCTCGCATTTGATGGAGCCCATCATTAATGACAGAAAGATAATCGAGCATATGCAATTGTGTTAATTTTTTTAACAAACAGGATAACTCTCGAAGAAGATTATTGATCTGCGTATCGGAATTTACTAAAAATTGGTTTACCAGAAAAAAATTTCGTCGATAACACATTAAAACAAAAAAAAAAAACATCGGAAATAATGTATAACCTTGGATAATTATATATATTATGATAGATTTTTAATTATTGAATTAAATGTCACGTTATTTACAATTAAATTACGACTTTGCAGTGTACAAAATGTGTATAAAAGTACAGTATATAAAAGCGAAAGAAAAACGTTTACACATATGATATTCTTATAATTTATTATGAAGTTAATTCATGATTGACAGGATTAAAAAGAATTTTAATTTTACATATCCCAGTTTTAATAAAAATAAATAACAAAAACATTGCTTATAAAAAAATTAATTAAGTAATATCTACTTAAAAAGGTAAAAAAATTTTATGTACAGATATATTGATAACTGGAGTAGGCTACGTAAGATAAGTTTTTAATAAAGATTATAATTATCCAGAGCAACAAATCACGCCATATCAGATTGAACTCCGTAACAGTTTTATTTTTAGAAGAGAGAAGAAAAGAGGAGGAGGATCGAGATAAGAAACGCTTCCATATGACGTTAATAATAATTTAATGATTTATCGTAAAAATGCGCTATCCTCAAAGACGTATATATATGCAAATCTATGCAAATAATCCTTGAGTTAATAATTCCATCTGGAGAATCGTCAAATAACTGTTGCGATAAGTTTACGTTCGTCTTTGAGACTGGGATCTTGTAATTAAGAACGTATGCCCAAAGAATGCGATATGCTTCTAAACGATTTTGGCAATAAGATTCTACTTCTGTCATCTAAGGAATTCGGTTTAACTTGGCTTGACTGACTCTCGACGGAGATCCCACGTGGATCCCGCGTCTCCAAATAATCACGAAGTGCTCATTAATTACACGACTTTTAATTAGACCGAGACTCACATTCTCATGCTGTTCAGAATAAAGCGTACGTAACGTCGTAGTAAAATATATGTCAAATATTCATTGGCCTTTGTTTTCAGCTTACACGTAAAATTCCATACTCCTCGTATGCGAGAGCGATCCACACACTTTGTAACACGAAATATACAGGGTTGTGTCTCAGGCCCTCAAAGAATATTTTAGAAATAAATCTTTTGATAAATTTGTAATCGACCTTGCGAAACCGAAAAATTTCGACAGATTTCTCTTAATATTTCCGTTAAGAAAAATCTTTCTGAAAAGTTTATCTCTAAAATATTATTTGGCAGATCTGGGACACGCTATTTATTATTAGTCCGCGTTCGTTTTTATTATTATGCGAATATTTTGGTTCGCGCTCGTTCATCTTGTTTCCACATAAACTGCTACGTCTCATATATAGGACAACGTAAAATCTATGGCGATCGGACCGTCGCGTCGGTGCGGGAAGTAGAGATGTTCGTTTCGACCCTCGGGGTTAGCACAGAACGGATTTGGCACTTCTTGTAAGACAGGCACACACGTTACTTACAAACAGCTAATGCCTTCTGGTAACACATTCGTAAGAAGGGACAAGCGTCATACATCGTCACCACGAAAATACATTCATCCTCTCTTCGGATATGTCCTTAGCTCTTTCACCGTGTTTATACGGCACTTGAAGCTTCATGCATCTTTAACGTGCATCGATTCGAACGAGACGTGTCACACATTCGCGATCGATCGATGTGTGCACCGATGCGTGGAAAGAAGTTACCTCTTGCGGTGAGCGCGCGCGCGACTCTGGTAAGATATGTATATACGAGTCCAACGCAGCGCAGTGCACCATTAATTGCACGACAAATATTACCGAGGTGCGGAATTCGGATTTATTTTTCACACAATGCTCGTTCTCTCGCGATTATTTCTTTGCCGTTAAACTACACAAATGTAATACAAAGTGGATACAAAATATCAGCCAACTGTCAAAAATTGTATCTAGAATTGCGCGATAATGCATAACACTTTAAATACCATAGTAGACATACTTTTTTATAAATTTTGTATGTCTTCAGCTTTTTGTCTAAATAATACTTTTGCAGACGTGTGTAACATCAGACATTTCTTATCTATAATTTTCGACATTTAGCTTATATTTAATTTTCATTCATTAACAATAAGAACCTCGCTCATTTTATTAGGGGGTTTTGGGCCATGAACGCACACACTTGACGTCTATATGCATTTGTAAAGGAGGTTGACAGAAATAATAATAACATAGTCTCAAGTCTCAAAAACGTGGGAAAAGATACTTTCTTTTTTAGAGTGTGAATTTTGCATATGTAATATTAGTTGACACTAAAAACGTTACACTATTTAATTTAAATATTATAATATCATTAATTTTATATAAAATAATATATTTTATAATATCGTCCAGACGTCTTTGCGCTTAGGGCACTTTCCCGTAAACGAACAAACTTATCCCTGGTAACCATCTCCGATAGAAAACGATTAAAAACGGCTATATCTGTATCGTTTTTAATCGTATCTTATCAGTTCTATCGTTGCATATTTAGAAGACAGATAAAACATTAATCGAATCGAATCGGTTTCTATCGTTTTAGATCCGAATAAGAAAATAACTATACAAATTTTATAGTTATGAATCGTTTTCTATATGTACAATTATTGCCCGTCTGAATCAATTGTATATACACGATATAATATATATCGTTACTTATGGTAATAATTTTACCGTATGCATTAATACGGATATATAAGAATAAAATAATAGACATCTCATCGATATTTATATGACTTAACCGAACCAATACATCTATCGTTTCTTATTAGGATTTTCTGACATACAACTTATCATCTTCGGGCAGAGTACGATTTCCGAGGCGCCCAGATTTGACTGTGGTTTCTGGTAGTATTTCTTACGCTGAACAAAAAATTATATAGGTCTTAGGGCTAACTGCTCTAGTTTTCGAGATATGCAATATTAGTTAAAAAAAAAAATTATTCAGTTTACACCCCTATAATGTATCACTTGAATTTTAATGAATATAAGTATGTATTAAATCTTCGCCTTACTAAACAGATGAGTCTACAATATACTAAAAATATTAATACTGAAAAGATTAGCGAGGTCTCGTACGCAAGGTAGGACGTTTCATTCGAAATGATATTTTTTCGGCGTATAGATTAGTGACACGTTTAAAAGTATTTAAGTGTTTAAAGCGCGTCAACTAAATGTAGGGCACACATGTGTGTGCCCTGCTTTAACGAAAATCACAACTTCTATAAAGCAGGACATACACATGTGTGTATGTCTACTTTAACGAAAATCATTAAACAGTTAAATACTTTTAAAGCGCGTTACTAATCTACATAGGTTAGTTGACGCGCTTTAAACACTTAAATACTCAAAGAGTTTATGTGTTAGAAAGTATAAATATAAAATACGATAATATATTATATCTAATAATTAAAAAAAGTAAAGATTTATATTATATTTATTTTGAGCTTTAATACTGCATATCTCGAAAACTAGAACAGTTAGCCCTATAAGACCTATATAATTTTTTGTTCAGCGTAAGAAATACTACCAGAAACCACAGTCAAATCTGGGCGCCTCGGAAATCGTACTCTCCCCTCATCTTCTTTACGGCAGCAAATCGGTTCGTTTTCTATCGTATATAAATGATATAAA